TCCTCTTGAATGTGGGCACATCAGGTCCGCTGTCGGGTTAGTGAAAGCCTTCACCTCTCCTTCATGATATGCCATAGTACTTGCATTTGAAGTGATTTTTTTTTTTTTAACTTAACATTATCTTGAACTTTTTGACATGGCTGTAGTACATGTTGTGTTTATTTTTAGAGATTGTTGCAATAATTCTTGTGGATGTTTTATCAGAGTGCGTGTGTTTTTATTAAATGTCAGGCTCATTTCTATTTTGTAACCTGGGGGTTGATGTACAGTAATATTTAGTATTTTGTGGAGGTGGGTGCACCTGTGTAAAGTATTGCAACACTGCTGATGATAGTAAGTGTTGAGTTGATGATAATCCAGTGGGGCCCTTATAGATAGATGCTATAGCTTGAGGGTACCACATCCAGGTTTGAAATCCAACAACAAAAAACCCAGAGTGGGTTGTCATCCTGGTACTTGTTTCCCCAAAACTCTCCACTCTGCGTCAGCTCCAGCATGCAAACCTAGGGTGTGGGCAGTTAAAGATGTGATTACATAGTATGTTGCTGGTTACATCATTCTTCTCCGTTCTGTTGTTGTCTTTTTATTTGATTGTATCTACTTAATTTCCTCTAGGTCATTGGGGCCTAAGCACATGCGCATAAGGGAGATAATTTTCCACTAAAATCTTTTGGCTCTTCTGTTATGAGACAGACTACTGAAACATTCCACTGTTTGAGGGAATTCCCATGCTACACTGCTGTCTTGTCCCCCTCTGCTGTCAACACGGGGATAGCATTGTCACACAAGGACTTTTTCACTCCTCCCACCAAAGAATTCAACAGATTGATCATGTACAGCACAGCACTGTAGAGAACAAGCAATCCTCCACAACATTGCAAGAGCAGACAGGCAATAACTTTTGGCCTCATCTCATCATGTTTTACAAGTGCTTTTAAGGACATGTTGTTTTACACCAAGCAAATGCATGTGTGCACACAGTACAATGCACACCGGGAGGATTTAACATACTTAATGCATACAGCGCAGTCATTTATTTGTTTAATCTCTGGACATTCAACTATAAGAAGAAGAAGAACTGCAGTCTGTTTTACATTCACTACTCCTCACACTTGGCCCATGTCTAGATTGTATGATCAGTAATTATCTAACCTCTCTCCAAATTGTTTTGTAAGCCAGTTATTTTTTACATTGTTGATGTTGTAGCTTTATTGGTGTTGTATGAAATTTGTAAAAACAAAAAAAAAGAGTTTGTTTTATATTAGCGTGCCATGGAATAGATTGACCTGTAAAACAAAAAAAAAACTAATTAATCAAAACTATACCTTTAAAACCACGGTCACCTGCACAAAATGAATGTAATATGTGACCTGCGATATCTGAAATGGCTTTAGATCTTTCTCAGTGGGTGGCCATTCATTTAATTTCTACACTGGTTGTGGCCACCATGCATGATGCAATAATTATACATCTGATCTCCAGCAAAATCCCATATCAGAGAAATAATGTAAAATTGCCACAATCATGATTAGGGGATATCAAATAATCACTATTTTCTCAAATGAAACATCCAATTAAGAGAAACCCTTAATGCGCAACATTGTGGAAAATGACTTTATGTGTATGATACCTTTGTCTCTTACTCTGTTTCACATAACCAATGTTTTGTGTTTTATAAGAAAGGGGAATCAGAAATGTGAGCGTTAATGTAGATTGAGTGACCTTACAAATTACCAAAATGTGCTTAAGTAGAGTGCAAAAATGTTTTGTGTTGTTAAGGTGAGCATAGCCTTCCCAGCTAGCGACTTAATTGTTAGAGTACTGCCTTCCAAATAACCAGGTATACCTCCAAAGGTTTTTAAGGTGACATTTAAATTAGAGAAAACTAAATAAGGCAGTATATCACTCTCTATGAAGTCTGGCATTCTCCTAGAAAATACACTCAAACTTTGCTCATGGTGTTATCATGGATACTCCTCATCCTGGAGCTTTGGGAACACTGAGAAACATTCCTGAGAGCATGATGGCGCATAGTGTTAAATTAGTCTTCTTCAGGCAAACTCCGTCAAGGTGACTTGAAGCTCAGAAAGAAGTAAACAGATAACCCACAACGTCAAACCACATACTCGTACGGTGTAAAGTGTTTGGCAACTTTGCAGCTGCTTCCCAAAGTACAAAGGGGTTAGCAACAGGCGTTGGGTGGATTAATCATGAACTGAAGGACTCTCTGTCACCAGGAAATTCATAATCTAGCTACACAAGCATTCTTAAAGCCCTTTTGGATGAGAGTGTATGTTTTTATTTTTCAACCTTTGTTGAGGAGGTCTGCTCCTTTTGCTGGCTATTCCTTGGGGGAATTCAGGGTGAGGTGGTCAAGGTTTGATGCCATCACTGATAGAGGGGGTGTCAGGTGATTACAGTGTATGAATTTTAAGAACCAAAACTGATTCAAATGCGATTTTTTCCCTACTATGTTCATTTATTCTAATTTGTGTAAAACCAGGCAAGGATATGGATGAATCTATACCACCTTAAATGCCCAATTTGCTGTAATGTAAGATCTTTGGCCTAGTTTTACATAACTGAAAAATTTAGCTTTTCCCATCTTACTTTCAGAGCGATTTCTAGCCAAAGAAGGTTATTTTTGTGGTGTTAATGAATGGAATCTAGAGGTGGTAGACCATCATGTTAGAGCTACAATCCCTTTTGGTATATTCTCAAACATTTTCTAAAGACCTAAGAGTGCATCAAACCCTGACCCCCTTTTGTGTCCATTGCTGTATGGTTTCGCAATGGTGTAAAATCTCATTCTTTGTCGATAAAGCTAATGTGTGCGGCAGTATTTCCTAGTATACTTCTCTGTTAATCGTCTTTTCTTATTTACTTTTGTTTATTGGGGTGTGATGTCTCATTATATCAATCTGTTGATGTAGCGTTCCATGTATACCCTGTTCCTTAGCTTAATATTATTAAGTATGTTATGAGAATGGATATTTTACTGGCTTTATAGAATGTTTAAATAAATATAATAATGACAATAAGAAGAAGGATTAATTAAACCTCCTAACAAGTTGAGTACTTGCTACTAAGCGCTTGTGTTACCATTATGATGTTGTGTGCTTCTCTTAATCATTTTCGTTGTAGAAAAATGGAGTGAATTTATATTAGGCTTTGAGAAAAAACTAATGATAGCATTGTAAATTTTACAGGAGGATTTTAACAGACAAACAGCTTCGTCAAATAGAAGAATATAGTTATTTTAATTGTCCTCTTTACTAACTGTAGGGTGAGAAGGGGCTCGCGTTGTGGTGAACTATGTTATAGCTTGTTATTCACTGTTACTTTTGATCATTTTTTCGGTCTCCGAGGTGAATCGAGTTATTAATGAGAATTTGTATGCTCACATATGCATATTGTATATGTGTAGAAATGTAATCACACTTTGTCTTGGATTTACATTAAACTGTTAAGTCACGGCACCAGTCTCATGTTTTGTGTGGTGTGGTTCTGTGGTGTATGTATGTGTGTGTGTGCTTGAGGCTTGCTGTGAGTGCTTGAGCATAGTAACTATTTTAATAAATTAAAAAGGAAATAAAAATGTAGAATAATAAGCAAATATACTACACACTATTACTCCAAAATGTCTAAACAGCTTGGCACCCATGAATAAAAATGTAAAGGCTGTGCACGCCCACACAGGTGATTTCACTTATTTGGTCTGATTAGACCTTGGAGTGATGTTTGGAGGAGCTATCCATGAGGTCACCAAACAAAATGTAACTAATCATTAAGGTGTTGGTTGTCCTGCAACAAGGCTAGCAGGAGAGTCAGGGAGATGTCAATTAAGTACAGTCGGTACATGTACATGAGTCCCAAAAAGAGGTCTAATCAGTCAGTCATCTGTATGTGGTTATCGCTGGTGAGAGGTGTTTTTCAGGGTCAAAGGAACCATCCCTCATGGTGAAACCATGAGCAAAATATTGAATTTAATTTACTTGACTGTTGGGGTAGTCCAGTCTTTAACAATATGTTGCATATCATACTCCATGGTTTGTATGTAAAATCTGAATCTGCAAAGTAACTAAATGTAGTGAGGTAGAAAGTACAATATTTGCCAGTGGAGTTGGAATAAAACAGCATAAACTCATAATACCCAAATGAAGTAGTATCTCAAAATGATACCTAAATACAGTTGTTATATAATTGTACTTAGTTACATATCCACCACAGACTGAATCCTTGGAAATTTCTTTATTAAAATTATCAAGTCACGCTTTAAAAAGAGATTCAATTTTCCATGGCACACTCAATACCTGCTAAATGTTGAGAAAGCCTAACTGATCTACCATCACCAACATTAGTCATAATATACTGCCACCAGGTGGCGGTGTGCACCAAAATGTTGAGGTATTATAGACTGGCACTGACTTGAGTGGGTCATGCTGATCGTCTCCATTTGTTTTCAACCACAAAAGCTTGCTAAGCACGATTATTACAGCATGCACCACGGAGCCATATCTCGGACCGTTTAAGTTCTTTGTAATTTGGGGCATTTACTTCCTCACAGAAATCATGCATTACATTAGAAACTAAGTGTGCATCCTTGTTGTGTCTTCTCATATGTTAAGTGTAAAGACTGCGCTGAAAATGGGCTTATGAATGTTAAAAGGCATCGCAGTAGAACAACCAGTAGGTCATACCAGAGAAGAATCCGTCCAGAAAAGTAGACGGTGTCAGTTTGATGACTCTATTATTTTTTTTATTATTTCTTGCCAACCAATGAAAATGCTGACAGTGATATCCATCCAAAGATATAGCATAGGGCTATACCTGTGCATGATGGCAGGAGACGTTGCCGTGGAAGCCGCAGACGCCAGTCGAGGAGGACCAACCTAATTTTTAAAACCCCACCTTGACAGAAAAGAGCTGCAGCCAATGAGAGCGGGTTTTGATAAATTGGAACCTAATCAGATCAGCCAGGGGCGGGACTAACCCAATCCTCAGGACGAGAGAAGGTAACTGTTACCAAAAGAGTGTCAGATGAAACCCAGCTACCAGTTCGTCAACAGTACGTCCACACTGAAATAACTCCAAACGCAGGCAGGTGGTTACATGACGGTCAAAGACGAAGCCTCAGACAGCATTTTTAATCGTCCAAGGATATTTTCGCTTAACCCAGACAAAGGAATTGATAAAGTTGGAGCTTCCTTTTTTTTTGGTAAGTCTGAATGCGCAGCTCTGGAAAGCAGGCTGACAGGAATGGCTGGGGGAAAGGAGAAAAAAAATCGTGTTATCTGTGCACTCAAAGCTAGCTGTGTGAAATATTACCAAATGACCTAAACTAAACCCGTTTTTAGCATTTTGCTGTGACACTCAAATGGAGATGTAGCCGGCTTATATAGAGCCACATGACCGTTAAACTTGCAAGTAACGGGACGGGATGTAGGACAAGAGACCGTGATGAGAGAGCGTCTGAAAGCTAGCCATACAGCCGGGGGTTGAAGTCTGCGCTGGTTCTATGTGCGGTCCTCTTTGGCTTTATTCACCACGTTGCATTACGTGTTATCCGCCTATGTGGAGTTAGTGATGTTGTTTAGTTTATGTAATGGCATAATAATCTCTCATTTGTGTTCATTTGACTAATGTTATTGACGCCACCTTATAATGGACCTGGATGGCCATGTGCAGGAAATGTGTCAGTCCAGTGTGCACCCCCAAATGTTGTTTGTTTTAAAGTGGGATGTAATTATTATTATTAGTAGTAGTAAGTTTGTAGTATTATTGTTATCATTATAGTTATTATAGTTATTTTATGATATTCTACTTCTGTGGTGAGATGTAGCCTATATTCTGTGAGTCTGAGACAGTGAGTCAGGGTTTAATAAATTACATTTTCCAATCCAAAACTAAATTTAATATTAGATGCCACATTAAATGTACTAGAAGGCATAGTGCATAGATAAAGCACACTGTATTTAATGTCCTGCCAATAATAGAAAGAGAGAAATTTCCTTTGATATTTCCTCAACTTTAGAAGAATTATCTTGTTCCAACTGACCTATTTGTCCCCTTGCTCAAACAAGCATCTCTATTATTACAAGAGTGTGTGCTTATGTATACCTCAGTTCAGCTGTTTACAGTTAATGGATTGATGGTCAAAATCATAACAGTAAATGTGGTTACTTTTTTTTTTTTTTTGAGTGTCACGCTGGTTGCTCTTTTGTTTTCAACAGCTATGCTTTACTGCAAGCACATGTTATGGAAGGAGGGCCCATAAACTAAAGGAGAACAAACCAAGCAGCCCAAAGTAACCCAAACCTCGATCGTCACTTCTCAACTGGATGAAATGCCTTGACCTTACTGCCCCGTACCATGGCAGGTTTAGTCTCCTCTGCGTGTTTGGTGGTGATGCTCAAGGCTCTTATGCATGCCCATGGCCAGCATGTAGTGTTTCTGGGAATGACGGTGTTAGTAACAGTGATCGCCGCTGACTCACCTGTTGCAGGTAAGAGATCACCTTCCGCTGACTCACACAACATGATCCACTAATTTGTACCTTTTGTTATATAACAGACACAGATCCGTGTCTATTGCTACGTTCAGTGAGCTTTGAAGAAGAGAAATGACAAGTAATAGACACCAAGTTGCATTCGTGGTATGTAACACTTAATTGAACTTAATAGCCACATACATTTCACTTAAAATCAAGGTAAGCATAAATGCTATGTAATCTTTTTTAGTGTGTATGAAGTCAAATGTGTTAATGACATCCAAGATCCAACCTAGGTGTGATCAAGGTGTTTATCTTGATTGATTACTTTCTGGTAATGTTACCTTCTCTTGTGGGATTGGGTTTGAGAGAAATCAGGAGCCTACAGCCATCTACCCATTCTCCATACTGCTTGTCCAGTGCAGGGACACAGCAAGTTACCTAAACATTTAAACCATCCTTATTTCTTTTTCTTTAACCTTTAAGTCTTTAAGTCTTGACTTTGGGTAGGTTTGAAGAGCATGAATGCACATTTTCAGAAATACATGACATGGATACACAGTCACATCTAGGAGATTCGTAGAACAACTACAGTCTTGTTTGTGGGCCACTGAGCAGTTGCACTGGAGCATTAGGGGTCATTATGTGCCTTGCACAAGACCAACTTAACCAGCGACTTTCCAGTTATAAGCTTGCTGTCCTTCATGCCACTGTTGCCAACTCCTGTATGTAAGCTTGTTATCTCCTTAATAAAAATAAATGACGTGATAGATGACATCTAGCCCTAATTGTTAGTTGGTTTGCCTTTAGTTTAGCAGTGTTTTTAGTTTGAAACAAAAATCTCTATGCCTGGTAGTTTACCTTAGCATGAACTAATGTCTTGATTTTCATGTGTGCAAAGTCAGGGCTGTTGCATGACCTTGAATAGTTGTAATATTCATAATGAAGACATTCTCTGCATTATCACGAGAGGTGAATAGGCTCTATCCCTACAGCACACTTACTGTAGAGTTAAACCAATTTCCAGTAATTAGAGAAAGAGAAAGGGTCTAAATCCATCCTCTTGATGGGTGTTTTCCCCAGGCTTACTTTTATAGATAGTGACATCCCCCCCCCCCCCCCCCCCAACAAACACACACTGCCCATGCAACATGTTTTAAGAGCAGCCAAAAACTCACAATATTACGTTATGTAGTAATTGCTGGGGTGAAACCCTCATACAGGAAATGAGGAATTAGTAAATCTTAAACGAATACTGATAACACCTCCATTCCCAGCTTTCCCAAATGTGGGCTCCCAACTTTCTTCTTTGTGAGACCCTCTTAAGAAATCATCTCAGATTTTGTCAGACTAGTGACCTGGTGTAGACTATATACAGTTAAGTCATACTGTAAATAATTTGAAACAAACAATTTCAAATAAAAGTGTATTTCTTGTTGTTTCTGCCATTTTGCATTTGCTTATCATGCTCTCATACAGCTGTGTGTTTGCTAACTAGTTTGCATTTAGTCTTCCTGCCGAGATGGTTTCCTAAAGCTAGGATGTGCTTGTAGTAGGTGAAATGGCCAGAAATGGTATAACAAACACTATACTTGGAAAACACAACGCTGCTTTGCTGATGGATTTTCTTATTTACCTGTAGCAAGTCGCTAAAACTGTGCTATAGAATGGGGGGATATTTTAAGTTATCACACATTTTGCTGCGTCTTTTTACTGCTTTTAATGTTGTCTATATCCCCAATTTGTGCAAGGGATTTATCAGGGTTGTTTCATCTCTTACGGGAAGATATCTTCTGCCAAAGCAGAGAGGCTGGTTTTGGTTGATATTTCGTCATGGATTTGATGATCACAGTAAGCTAAATGCAACACTTTGAGGAGCATCTTGTAGGCAGTTCTCCTTTGGCAGACTGAAAACCACTGCATCACACGAGAATACGTTTATCAGCCATGGCTTGGACAGATTTCAGACGTATGCATGCTGTTCTGAATTAGCCTGTTCCGTTTCAAGCACTCTAATTCTGGGCAAACATTTTTGCTGCACACTGCAATGATCAAGGGATGGACCTTACGTTTTGTTTTTTTTATTTAAAAGTAATGAGAGTGTGTTGTTTGTAAATTGTTTTGTAAACAGTACTGTAATTCAGTTGTAGTAGTATAGTACATTTGATGTGCAATACAGTACAAACAGAAGCTCTTGCTACACTGTGACAAGCCTTACAGAATAAAGTTAGCATTGTTCTCTACCAGTTTGTTAGTCCACATACTTTGGCATAGCTGGAGATTACACTTAACTTTTATTGGACAAGCTTGTCTTCCATTCCAACATCCACTTAGCTGACGCTTTTATCCAAAGCGACATACAACTCTGGAGCAACTAGGGGTTAAGTGTCTTGCTCAGGGACACATTGGTGTCTCACAGTGGATTCGAACCCAGGTCTCTCACACCAAAGGTATGCATCTTATCCACTGCTCTATCACCACCCCACATCCATTTTTGCAACTTTTTAAAAAAGCATATCCTGTAATGTAAACAAAATGTTTGCCCAGGCTTATATCTCTCTAATAAAGGAAGGGGTGTGTGCGTGTGTGCGTGTGCGTGTGCGTGTGTGCGTGTGTGTGTGTGTCTCTGATCTTGGTTTGATATATGTTAGAAATAAATGTGTTTAAACGGAGTTGTAAGAATTTTATATTAAGTTCTAAGGATGCACTTAATATCTAGCAGTATCTCCGCCATTGTCACGTTGTTTCAGTGTTATTAATGCTGTAGATAAGGGGTCGGCAAATAAGCTTGATCGTTTAAAAACAACTGTTGGGTTCCCGGTTAGCTCAGTCAGTTGTGTACAGGCCTTTTAATCGGAGGGTTGTGTGTTCGGTCTCCCCTTGCATGAACATATTTATTTGCCTCTTCAACAAATTAACTATGAAGAGACTGTTTCAAATACTCACAATAAAGCATGTGCTAGAGCGTGTGCGTCCTGGCAATTGATCCAAATCCATCAACCTATGGACACTTATTTTCATTTCCCCAGCATCTCTAGGCAGAGAAAAGTCCTTCAGTGGCATTCAGGGGGAATCCAATCTCACCTTTCCTGACGTTTTTTTTTTAAGAGGTGTGTCAAGCATGCTGCAGGCTATGGCTGACGCGGTGGAGTAATTTCCCTCACAGTAATATGTTGGAGCTTAACATCACAGTGTGTGGTCTTATCGCATTTTTAATCAATAGTAAGTAAGTAATTTGGTGCCATGTAGCATAGTAAGAGTGCCTGTGAATCTCCCCTCACTGACCAGTGAGCCGCTAATAGCAGCTTTATGGTCGGCGCAAGCTAGCTGCTGGGTGCTAGTCAACAACATTGCCAAGCAAACTCATTTTTGTAGTTTGACTGTGTCTTTTTCACACGTAACGTTCCCTATATCGTTACCTTCAGGGCATGTCTATCAAGTCAATTTACATACCACAGCAATACACAACGTTAGTCCAACATCGCAGAGCCTGCTAGCCACATTAGCCGCGCAATATGCTAACATCAAGTTAGCTAACCTTTAAAATAAACAGTAAAAGAACACTAATTTCATTTATTTATTTAGAACTAATTTATTAATTTAACACGCACTGAAGTGTAAAGTATAAACATTGCGTTTGATGCGGTGCTTGCCATCTGCAGTAGGCCTGACCAATAGCGTGGTATCTCAGTTTTGCGGTTACTGCGACAGCCCTTGCCCAGACTCTTTTGAATGTCTTTCAGAACTTTTCAAAGTAAAAGCTCTAAATTCAACTTGAAATAAAGCATTACTGCACAGAATTTTGTAGGCACTTAAGAGGAAGTCATTATGTGAATAACTGTTGACATGACTGAAATCTATTTCAGCACAAGCCGCTATCAAAGTATTTATTTGTTTATTTATGTATTTAATTTTATGTATTAATTTAAGCGTCATCACTGTGACAGCAGATTGTTTGATACATTGGTTCTTTCATGATGAATGCTTCCTTAGTCAAAGAAGTGTAGAAAACAATTAGAAGATGCAGTCATCACTCCTCTGCTTTCAATTTATCATATTCATTTAAAAATGCACTCCTTTATTTTAGAAAAAGATTTATTCACTATCGCACAATGTGAAGTGAAATACTAGAAAGAACTGGGCCTGCTCTTGTGACTGTTGAATGCATATTATATATACACAGAGCTAAGTTAGTTAAGCTAACGCTGATTCATCTTGGACATGATTGTCCCTGCCTGTTGCACAAGACTGCAGTTTAAAAAACTGTCCTACTTCTGTGTCAGAGCTAAAGATTAGTCGGTGAGGCAAAATTAACCCATAAATCTCTAAACATTATGGTGAACAGGATGTGCTTATCTATACCCATCACTATACATTTCACTTAATTCATGCACAGGGTCTGTTTCAACAGTGAAATCACCAGTCATACAGCTTTCCTCATACAGACCCAGAAAATGAATGTTTCTAGGTCAAATAAAGCATGGCGACCTAAGTATAATTGTTCCTCCAGACCCGACATCATACATTAATTTTCCTCTTTATTACATCCCAGCTCTCTTGGTCTTTCTGGTCCTCTGCTAATTTTCTGAGAAGGAACTAGTTCCACAGCTATACACGGGATTTAAAATTAAAGATCCTTTCAAATGTATAGGTTATATATTTTTTTTAAACTTTATATTTGATACCATAAAGGACCCTTGCAATTTTGCTTCAACAATCTCTCTTTCTCTGCACTGCAGTGGCTGGCAAGTTCAACACAGCAAGCTGCAGGCCAGCAAAGCTCTGGCTAATTACCAGTGCAGTCCATTGCCATGTGAAATGTGATCTGTGTGGGATGACAATATGGCCATTCATTATTCATTAGAGCTGGGAGCCAGTTGCAGATCAATGGCTACAACATATCAAAAGCCAAACAGTGGGTACTTATGCTCTCTCCAGGCCTGCAGCTTGACCAGAAAGATCTATTGGAAAGCAGCCGGTGGCTGACCCTGCCTGTCCGCTGACTGGCCTGTCTC